TGTAAAAGTGAGATCGAAGACTTCAAAGTTGACCTTAGCAAGGAATTCGAAATGTCTGATTTGGGTGAGATTTCATATTTCCTTGGTATCGAATTCTACAAGAGCAGTAGAGGTTTGATGATGCATCAAAGAAGATATGCAGGAGAAATTCTCAAAAGTTTTGAGATGGAAGAATGCAACGCAACTTCGACACCTGCAGAACCAAGACTGCAACTGTCGAAAGATGCTGATGAAGATGATGTTGATCCAACCCAATACAGAAGACTTATTGGATCATTGAGATACCTTTGTCATACAAGGCCTGACTTAGCATACAGCGTAGGTATGGTAAGTAGATTCATGCAGAAGCCAAAGGTATCACATCTAGCAGCTGTGAAGAGGATACTAAGGTATCTCAAAGGAACTTTCGATTATGGCATTTTGTTTCCTGCAGTTGATAAAGGAAAAGAATGCAAGTTAGTGGGATACACTGATTCGAGTTGGTGTAGTGATGTTGAAGATCGAAAGTCAACAGCAGGATATGTGTTTATGCTAGGTGGTGCAACAATTGCTTGGAGTTCGAGAAAAGAACCAGTAGTGGCATTATCATCATGCGAAGCAGAATACATAGCTGCTTCTCTTTGTGCATGTCAAGCAACCTGGATGGTGAACTTGGTCGAAGAGATAACAGGGAAAAATCATGGAGTAATTACCATGAAGATAGACAGCATGTCAGCTATCAATTTGGCAAAGAACCCAATAGCACATGGTCGAAGTAAGCACATCGAAATGAGGTTCCATTATCTTCGAGAGCAGGTAGCAGATGGGAAGATGAATTTGGAACACTGCAGAACTGAGAATCAGATTGCAGACATCATGACGAAGGGAGTGTAGGTCGAAGTATTCAGAAAGCTAAGGGTCATGATGAACATAGACAGTTTAGACACAATGAATTAGGTGGTGTGTTAAATTGTAATTCATATGTGTCAAAAGAAGATTTGATTTGTTTAGATTTAAATAGATTTGAATTTAAATCTAGATTAGATTTGATTTAGTAAAGAGATATTTTGGGCTTGGGTTTAGTTTAGGGAGCAAGCTAACCTAAATCTATAAATAGAGGGAGTAATCCCTATTTTGAAATTTAAGTCATTCACAGTATTTTGCAGTTGTAAAGTGAATTAATAAAGATTCCACAGTTTGTGGGCAGAATAGAAATTCTGCAGAAATATCTCTATTGTCTTTTATTTGTTTGTCTCATAACTAATCATCAAGTGGTGGTCGAAATTCATCATAGTGTATTGGTGGATTTCCAACAGTTGTTACTTCCATTTTTATTATTGTTTTGCACTTGTCCAAGTTCTCTTATATGCCTCTTTATGTCAGGTAGAATCCCAAAAAATTTCTAGCTCTACCCAGAAGGCTATTTCACTGTGTTAAGCCTAATATATAGTGTTGAGCTCATCAGAACATGGTAGTGAGGTGTCTGTCATGCTGCTCTTCTTTGCTTGACTTCACTATCATGTCGTTAATTTATACTTCTAATATTTCTCCAATTTCTTCTCAAAATATTTGTTCAACATTATCTCGTACATTGCCCCAGAATTCTTCAAGTCAAATGGGATAATGTTATATCGATAGTTAGCACACTCTGTCATGAAGGAAGTTTTATCTTTGCCATACTTGTGCATGCATATAGTTAGCACACTATGTCATGAAGGAACTTTTATATTTGCCTTACTCGTGCATGGATGTTTGGTTATAACAGAAAAATGCATCGGTGAATGACAATTATGATAGTCGGTATATTTTCCTTTTATCTTATCAATGTTTAGGAACGAATATGAATCTTTCGGGAAAGCTCGTTTGAGGTCAATGTAGGTGAAACATATTCTCCTTTTCCATGATGCCTTTTTTACTAAGATGACAATGTCCAGCCATTATGTGTATCTCGCCTCAGAAATAAAGTTTGGGTTTAATAGGCCTCATACCGTGTTCATGATGAATTTGGGCTTTTCAAGGGGTTGTTGTCTCCTTCTTTGAAACATATATCGGATGGAAGGTTCAATATTAAATTGGTGATAAGCTAAATTTGGGTTGATGTCGAGCAGATTGTATGGATAGATTGCGAAGATATCAAAATTGGCGTTTAGGAATTTAATAAGACATTTCGTGATCGAGATCAAAAAATCAACCCCCAATAGAGACTGATCTAGATGAGTTTGCATAGAGTTATATCATTTAAATGTTTTCATTCGAGACCATCCTCAAGGTCTTCACTTTGGTCCCAACTTGTAACTCGATCTCATCACCTTGTAGGACCTCATATTCATACACATTGAGGCCAACGGTATCGATGGAGAAGGTAGAAGTCTCCCTTACTTTCTTTCTAGAAGCAAGGGAAGTTTCCCAATGGCTCTTTAGTATTGTCTTATGTATTATAAGGGCTTCGTGCAGTTCAGGAAGAACAATAGAGTGATGGTTGAAGTATTTGTGGTATTTCATTTTAGTGTGGACAATGGGAGTTTTTCCATTCTAGAACCAGGAATAAAGAGAGATACAGAAGTTGTAGTAGAGTAGAGCTTCTGATGTGACGTAATAGTGGTGTAGCTGCAAGGTTATCACTCTCAAGCTCAAGTCAATATATAAAAGAGTATAAAGTATGCAAATTTTGTTTGAAACTTATTATCTAATTTGGTGTCATTCCCTATATGTGGAGGAGAGAAATAAAGACCTCGTTATTTTTAAGGTGTGGAATACGGAGGACCGTTGGATGCATACAAGACAATATACTTGTGTAGCCGATATAGGATAATCTTATGCAAAAGATAAGATTCTAGAAATATAATTGTGTAGTCGATCAAGAGGTTATGCTATAGAATAGGTTACCTCAAGGTGGTCGGTCCAAGATGAATATGGTTGGCCCAAAACAGTTGTCCTCTAGACTTATCGGGAACCTCAAATACTTGGGAGTCTTTAGTGACTACGTTCAGCTTTTCGAAGATTCACCTCCGTTGCTTTAAAATTGAAAGGTTTAAAGTCTACCACAGACGTAGTGCGAAACAAGGGAATTTAATGTTTTCTTGCCACTAAGCAATTTTTCCTTCTCCTCGCAAACATGACACCCAAAGCATGCAGGTTAGGAAATTATTGCCCTACCTAGGGTACTTAAGTGTCTTTTACCCACGTTCGGATTAATGGGATAAGATATTGGTGTGGTTAGTTATGACAGCAAACACCACTAATGGGAGTATAACGTTGGGAATTCCTAGGATGTGTGTGTCTTCTTCCTTTTTTCTTTCCACCATTTTTGATTTGGAGGATCCTCTAGTGTACATTTTCCCCCTTCGTTGAATGGTTTGTCGTCGATCGAAGAAACGAGAGTTTGGTTGATGAATTTGAGGTATATAAATTATCGGTGGTTTTACTAGTGGAATAAGAGACTATCATTGTCCTCTGAGTGAGATTGTTATTGTGTGATATGACTTTTGAATTAGGTGAATTTGATCGTGGAGATATGTGAGAATCATAAGTCAGTTCCTACCGATTTTGATATTGATCTGTCATGAAACAAGAAATATATAATGTAGGCAAATGAGTTTTTTATGATACGACTGTGAGAACGTCATGCGTAGTGGAATGGGGGTTAAACCTGCAAGGATATCCCTCCAACGTCCAAGTTAGTTAAGTGATAGAGGAGAAGTTGAAATTGGGAATGAGGTCATACCTGCAAATGGCGTGTGGTGAATATTTTATACGGGAGGTGGTTAAACCTCTTTCGTATGACCCGATGTGAAATATAGAAAAATGTCTCATCAAAACTGACGATGTGCGATGCTTGGGCATACAAAATCAGGTGTTTGACCCTTTGGTGCAGTTTTATCTGGTCTTTCACTATTCCATGAAGGTGCTTTTTGAGTTGTGTGAATAAGATATCTTCTATCTAGTTTGGTTTTGATGAAAACAAAGATTATCAAAGAAGAAAAAGAATTAAAAATTTAATGCACATCAATGATAAAATTAATCAAGAAGGTTGAACATTGAAATTCAAGTGAAGATTTAAGGCAAGTGAACATAACTAATGTGCTCATTACAATTCATTATATACTACTTTAAATTGTTCAAAATTGCATCTCTCACTTCATCTAAATCTTTCTTGCATCATTATATGTAAACATACATGAAACCTTGCCATTAAAAAGACATTTTAAGTATCGAGAGCAATGTCATATTCGAATACTAAATGTGAATCTTTTAAAAAAAAATTGCAAAGTGATCTGCCCAAAATGTGGGTATCCGATTACTAGTGTGGATTGTTATGGATAAATACTTGACTATATTTATTTAATGTATATAACCATACGTCTCTTGTTAGATTTTATGTTATAACATGGTCAAATAGCCATTGTTACAAGTCCTCTAGAGAAGAGATCTGCATTCCCATTGACTTTTGACATTCCTTATAAAGTGTACTATATCCACCTTTAAATTTGTAAGAAAAAATGAAGCTGATCTTATATTCTTCTGGTCAAATTTTATATTTATGGAACTGTGAACAAACATATTTCATTATGAATTGCAAGAAGACAATCATGTACATTTTACATAAACAAAATATCCTTACTACTGTCTAGAAACAAGACAATAATAGATAAAATAAAAATACTCCCTTTCAACTTGGCAATAGCAATGAAATGGGAAGGCAATGGCACTCTGAAAGTTGTAGGTTGAACATAAATATTATACGGCATTCATTATCACATAGCTCACAACAACAAATATGCATATAATTACAACAGATATGTGTATCCACCTCACAAAACCCAAGCCAATCTCAACAATCAAACCACACTAGTGTCTTCGTACAAGAAAAGAGAGGACCATGTACTTTGTGGTTGAGACCCCTCAACGCTTTGTGCCATACATTACATTTGACACAAATGTCATATCATGATCTCTCTAAGGGACAACGGAATAGTTTCTTAATACTTAGAAGTTACACATCCGTTTGCTGTGGAACGGATTTAGTAAGACTCTTCTTCATTGAGCTTAGGTTTATTCCTTATAGGCTTTTGTGTGCTACGTGTCCCTTTCACATTAGTTCTAGTAGGATATCTGGTCGTTTGAGCCCCGGAACCAATCCCTGCTAAAATTACATGACAAGTTAAACTTATAAATGGCATCTTTCATTAATCTAACACACCATTCAACAAGATTTGGCAATATAGTGCTTCTTATCCGGCTACCTTATTAGAAACTATTTGTGATCATGTTTTATGTTGAGCAAAGTTTGATGATGTTTTGCACTTGCATAGGTGATAATCTAATTACATTAGAACAATGCAGAGAAAGAGAACAAACTCACCATTGTTAGGAAGAGATAACCGCTTTTTCGCCTGTTTATCTTTATCTACCTGTGAGTTTCTCTCCTTTGGATTACTTTGGGATCTTGGAAAACCAGATTTTGAGTTGTTTTCTTCAACGGGAATTTGAACATTTGCATTAGACTTTGGTTTAACAGATTGTGTGTTCGATGTCTCGAGCAAACCTGCTGACTTGCTAGTGGAAGAAGACTCGCAGCCATCAGAGAGAGAAAGGCCGGTTTTGTGACTGACAACGCTTGGATGGATGTTTGGCAGATTCGATTTCGCATTAGTAGGCTTGAACTGAGGTCTGATTCCATTGCTACTACCATCCATAACATCATTTTCGTCTACCTTTACTCCATCTTTCGTATTAATGTCAAGAAAGCGATTCTCCCAAGGACGTACAGCCATCCATCTTTCCAACCAATTCCAACCCCAACTACTTTTATCGGGTTCAAACCCCGAAGAAGCAGCAGGCTGCCTTGATCCTGCCTGCCACTGCAAAGAGGAAGAAAAATATCTCATGACCAAGCTCGTGGCATGAAAAGATGAACCGAAAGGAAAAAAATGTTCTCGAAGATAATAATGGAATAACAACTAACATGGATAACAGTATAACAATATCAAATTCAATTTTTTTTTGTGATCACCCTTCATAGTTATAACTGCAAAAAGAATGAGTTTGGAAATACAACCATACATTGAAAAATTAGACTATGTCGCCAATTTAGTCAAAGAAATTACAGGCATTGGACAATTGGTCTCTAAAGTTAACAAAATTAAAAAATGATCCCGGAAGGTCAGTCGACTTAGTTGATGAAAATGTCGTAAAGTCAACGGAAATTATTTATATCTCACAATGGATAATAGCAATTAAGGACCTGATGAGAAGGATTAACAATACTACGTATACTAAAATAGCAATTACTCATACAAGTTAGAAAAAGATAAATCAAAGCCTAATGCCTGTCATTGTAAATTGCAATTCAATAAGATGCAATTGTAAATTTACCTGATGAGCTAGAGCATATGCCATGGCTCTCTCACGTTTTGCTGCAGCCTCTTGTCTCTTTAATATTTTGGTTTGAATTTCTTCAACAGATCCCACACTGTCACACCAACCTTCCTGTAACAAACAAATACGGGAAATACACAACCTAAGTTGCTGGTCACTATTATTAATATTATGTTAACAGCAGCCTCCTAATTTTGTTTGAAAAAAGTTCGCCGTATATCCTTCATATGAAAACATGCTCCGCACAAATTGGATTCTTATGCAGCTAGATCAAAAGAATTGACTTGTTTTTAAAACCAATCAAATGACTTAAAATAAAATTTTAATTTGGTTTGTTAGTTTTGGATATTATTTTACCCCCTTTTTTTTTTACTTTGTTCCTTACTTTCATTCTTTGTTTCCAATTTATGTCTAGGTTGCCAACTGCGTCAAATCTATAAAGCTCAATTTTTCAATACTCAACCACCCGGGATTGGGAAATAGATGAGAAAAATGAAAATAATGATGAAAACACATAGTCCATATTAATAAAACAAATTAGCTTTGGGAATAGTACTGCTTACTTCAATTTCTCTAACACGGGCTTCGTTTACGAGCTGTTGCTGAAGTTTCTGTTGATCTGTTTGACTTTCCAATGCCAAGCGAACACGCCTTGCCCTAACACGAGCCTGAACCCTCACCAAAGCTTGCATACAACGGAGAGTTATTGCAGCCTGTTTTCTTACTGCATGGCCTCTCACAAGGGCCTGAAGCCTTACCAATCCTTTCAAAGCACGTAGTGCTCTTCTGGCCTAATACATAGAATAGCAACAGGTTTTGTGAGAGTTGTTTCCATTTTGGAAATAAAGAAATTGATTAGAATAAGTTTAAGACAGGGTTAACGCAAAAAAATAAAAGTTTCATATAGATATGAATTGCATTTTGACATAAACAAGTGACTAATATAAAATCCTGGCAGATATAAAACAAAGAACAAGGTGTCCTGTTTAGTATAAAGAAGGAGAAATAAACAGTACATGTAATCAAATCAATACAGCAAGAAATCCTCAAAAAGTGATGATAAATTAAACCAAAATGAAGTGATCAATTACCAGAAATCCTCGAAATGCTGTTTGAATGCATATTGCGGCCCATTCTTCACTTGTGATTTGAGGATTATGTGCAACATCCGGTGCTTGTTGTGAAGTAGAAGGAGAATAATGAGCATCAAGGTTTGATTGGGTATTTGCATGATCTGCATCTCCAATAGGAGTAGCGCCATCATCGCCAAACTCATTTTGAAGTTTGCTACTGTCAATTTCGATGGAATGCTTTCTTCGATGGCGAAACTTGCTAGCCTTTTGATTATTCAAAATATCAAATATCATTTTATTTTGAAAAATATGTTTTTATGGTACGTATCATGAAATTATATAACAGCCAGAAAGCAGAAGTTTGTCAAGGAATGCATTTAGAGCTAGGCAAAAAGTCTAAAATAACTTTACATTGTTTGTATCGTGGAGTAGTTCTTAATATCTTAGAAGAACTCTTAGTTAGGAGTTGTTTCCTTGTTTCTTTACATTTCATAATCTGTTTCATATATTTAATTTGGTGAAGGAGTCCTGTGATTATTGTGATGAATTTTTTTATTTAATCGATATCAGTATAAATAAGGGTTAGTGCTTGATCATTTGTATATCTGAAGTATGATATCAAAATTCACAAGTTTGTACTCTCTCTTCCCTATTTCTATATCAAAAACCCATAACTTCAACATTAACAGCAGATATGCAAGTGTGTAGGGTGCTGGTTGGACTTTGCACTTCACAGATATGCAAACATCGAAAAACAAGGGCGAGAACCTGAATGTGGCATTCAGCTGTGGCAAACACAGTTTACTGTCACCAAAAACAGAGTCGTCTTGCTATTTTTAGTCCTTCAAGTTGTAGAAATGGAGCGCAGAACAGAGCGTTTTTATCGTTAATGAGTTGGAAGAGAGGTAGGGAAACATACATAAATTGGAAATGATAAAACAGCTCTTAAAAATTTTAAAATTGGATATATCAGAGGGTAAAAAAGGGAAATATAAACCCTAACCATTAAGCGGCCGCTAAAGGGCTATTTTGCTACTACTGCAAAACATGGATAGCCAATTATTTTCCATCCTAAAGTTTGATTACGGCTTTGTAGTGCAAATTTCAAATGGATAGATCAAAGTTTCAAGTCTGTAACTGTATATAGTATACAATCTTTCCATTCTCTCATTTAGCCTTAATAAGCAAATTTGAGTGATAAAATGAATTCACTTAAATTAAACAAACACACTTTCTTCAGATTTCAGGAACATAAACCATGAAAAGGGTGACATAATGGAGCATAGGGTGACATAATAGATAACAAAAACCCTATGCTCTCAAGGTGAACGATAACAAGCAAAATTATACGCTTTACTTATAAGTTTAGTTTTTGGCAACATGGGAGGAAGAAAGAACATAAAGAACTAAGTGATTTTACAAATGCAAGAACTACTACTAAGTAAGCAATAGTACATGGGAAATAGAAGAGATAAGATAGACAGAAAAACCTAAACTCACATTTCCATCCTTCTCTGAAGACTCGCGCTTTTCTGATTTCTTTAGACCAACCAATGCTCTAATCCACTTCCCCGGTACACCCATGTCGTCGCTCACTCTATCTCAATCTAGCACAAACCTTGCAATTTTCTGCCCAACCCAATGCAAACCAGTCAATTACATAACACGGTCTTAATCAGCCAAAATGTGAACTTAATCGAGATATGAGGTTCGGGAATAACGTGGTCCAGGGTTCAATCACCGCGGATAACAAATTCCCCGGCATAAAAAACTAACCACTAACAAGATACTCCACAAATTCAACAAGTTATACATAGAAACTGTCTCCACAAAACATGGAAAATATAAATTTTCAACTAATGTAGAGTTAATTGCATACCATATAAGAATCATTGTTCATAACATCATGAATAAAATAAACCTTCCTAAAAAACAATAGATCTCACCATAATTGAGAGATAATGGCAAATAAATGAATAACTGTTAAAACCCTTTTGTTCCAAGTCAACTCATAGTTAAAAATTCAGCTCCTGAAGAGCAATAAACCTCAGAAAATCCCTAATTTCAAAAAAAAAAAAAGTTGAATTGTCCAAAGCTGAAAAAAAAGTTTGAAACTTTCGGAAAGAAAAAGGAACCCTATTGCATGAAAAAAAAATGCAGATCCAGTGATGAGAAAGTTAAAGGTGAATTCAAGTGAAGCACTGAAACGTATGCAATAGATATAGAAAGAGAGGGAAATCAAAAGTAGGAGAAGATACCCTTTTACTTTTTGCAGTTGTTCATGACTCACTGAGTCAAATACCGAGTTTGCTCATCCAAAATTTTGCAGCTTTGAGTTGAAACAGTGTTTTCAACCTCTCTCACATAACACTATTTTTATGGGATTTTGATCACTTACTATTTTGTTGTTTTGTTTTAATATAAAGTTTATTTCATTCTTCCATTATTCCAAAATAAGGTTTTTTTATATGTTCACAAATTATATAAAACTAATCTTTATCACGGATGAAGATTTAAAGTAAGAAACTAGTAATAATTAGTAAAAAAAACTACCTCTAACATGCTCGATTGTCTTCTTCTTTTTTAATTGTGCTTAATTATATACTATATTTCATTGCAAATGATACTAGTTTTTCTATAAAAAAACAACAAATAAATAATTTTGCCAAATAATATCAAAATTACTTTTTATTGCAATAAAATTATTTTGTTATAATGGGATTTAATAAAATTGTAAATATAAGTTTTAATAATTTGTGCCATAAACAATAATTATTTAAATAAATTATATAATTAAAATAAAACAATAAGGAGAATAAATTGTAAATAATAGTTTTATCAATAAGGAGGAAGTATTAAGCATCAAAAGATAGTGTGAATTTGTAATAAAAAAAAATGTTGTATAATATGTGTTGGGGGTAATAGGTAGGAGTGTTCAAATCTAATCTAAATCAATCTAAATAAAAAATCGAAAACCGATCTAAAAAATAAAAATCGCAAAAAACTGAAATTTATTAGATGTGTTTGGATGTCATTTTATAAAAGTCGATCGATTCAGATCGAATTTTGGATTAATTTTTCAAAATCGATTCAAACCAAACTGAATCGCATACATATATTTTTATATTTATTTACTTTTTATTAGTATGATATGTAATGTGAATTTATTATTAGATGATAATAAGTTTTTTATTAATATTTATTAACTTGCTATAATCTATTTATTTTTATTATTAATTTCAACTATAATCGATAACTCTTATTTTGTAATATTTAATTTTAATATATTATATGTTATATATTATATAAAATCTATGATTTATTAGTAGTTTTATAATATTAATAAAAATATAATGTGTAATTTAGATATTCAAAAATCGATTTAAATTAAATAGCATAAAATTAGATCGGATCAGATTAAATTTTTTTAATATATTATTTAAAATTAAATTAAACCACAAATAAACTTATCTTTAAATTAGATAAATTTTTACTTTAAAACAGATTCAAACCGAACTGCGAAGATCCCTAATAATAGAGAAATAGAAAACGATTTGGTATAAGAATCGACGAGGCCACCAAAGAGTTGTCGTTGTCACGCCTCATTCTCGTGAGGAACATGGGGTAGTCTGATTGAGAGTCAATCGCGGGACCTTTCTTGTTTTGAACTTAAACCAACCTCATCCTCATTTTATTCGATTAGTTAATTCATTCTTTTTTTAGTTTATATAAAAAACAAAATACTAGCATAAGCATATGCCGTTAGAATAGGTGTTTTGTATTATCCTTGTCCATGTTTTAAGCATATTAATACAATCAAAACATTAAATCACATTAAACATCTTTGTTAGTTTAAATTGCTAAAGACAAATGTAAATTATTAATACAATCAGAACATTTAATCACATTGTAACTATAACTATAATAGTTTAGGACATGTTACCCAAAAAAATCATGATAAAATTAAACTTAAAATAACATACTCTAATATTAATATTAAAAACAAAAACACCAATTATTTTATGCGTTAATCTCAAATAAAAACATTTATCACATATATGATTATATAATAAATTATAATTAAAGTAATTTATGTGTTCAACATTTGTTTATGCATGTGCTCAACATTTGTTTATGCATGTTAAATTATAATTAAAAAACATATTTGTAATTTAATTAGATGATTATTTAAAGTATATATAATACTATGTCTACTTGGTTGGTCACTACATAGTGGTTGCCATGACTTAAATACATTATAGGGATAGTTTGTATAACAATTGTATTGTATATCATAATGTTATTAGCTGAGTTAGGTCTCGTTTGTTATTTAATCTAATATAAATAGTTTTGATTCAATTCTGAAATAGTTATGGTTTGACCTTGTTTCTGTACATAGTTCCTACTGCAATGTTGCATCCAAGAAATGTCAACCTGTTATTTCTATCATTGATATTTCATAGCATTGGATGCCTTAATTTTTAAATTGTAATTCGATTGTGGCGAAATAGTGCGTGTGTCGAAGGAAGGTTGTTCAGTCGAAAAGTTTGTGGATTGAAGCAAGCTACACACAAATTTGATTTGTATTAGATTTAGATATATTTGATTTAGATCTAAAATAGATATATTTGATTTAGTACTAAAATGTGTATTTTGGACTTTTATAGTTTTGAGCTTTGGCTTATGAGCAAGCTAACCTAAATCTATAAATAGAGAGAGTAACCCCTATTTTTGTAATCAAGACAACTAACTCAATTCATTGTAATCACATAATTTATAGTTGCAAGTGATTAATAAAGTTTTGCACAGTTTGTGGGCAGAGAAAAACTCTGCAGAAAATAATTATCTTCTTTATTTTCTTTTCTTTTCTCATAGTTCATTGTCATTGTGTGGTGATATCAATCTTGTTCATCAAGATTGATAGAAATTCATCATAGATATTTGGTGGATTTCTAACATTATCAAATCTGCAGCATGATATGTAGGGATTGATTGTACCTATTCTTATAAAATCAATCATAATAGTAATCAACTGTACTTTACTATAAGTTTTGACGGTTTGGATGTATTATAAAAAGTGTATAAGTTAAGTATAGGAAAAGTTTCCTACCAAAATAATAAAGTATATCTTCTAGCTAATTTGCATTGAAACCATGTATGTAGTGACAGTAGGATGGCTACATGCAGTAAGTCAGTTCAAGGATCGAGATAGTAATATCCTATAAGGATCGAGAACACCAGTGAATATCTGAATGTCTGAGTAACATCAATTTATTGGATCATCTCAAACTTTGCTCGTTCTTCACAATGGATCGGGGTAGGTGCAAAACAAACTACCTAGCCAACAGAAGAGTGCAACACATGAGGGTTCCTTTTCTCTTCATGGTGCGGGAGTGGAGAGAATGCAAGATATCTCCCAACAAAGTAGACACTGGATTGCGAGATATAAAAAATTTGATTGCATTCACATCTATAAGTTGGTCAGGATTAGGAAATAGTACCATACCATAGATGAGAAAAGCCAATATTTCTTCAAAGGCTTGTAAATCCAGAGTGTTCCAACAGTCTTGAGCTTTTTCCAACAGGAAGTTGGCTAGAAACCCTTTGACACCACTTCTTGTTTCTAAGTTAACCATGACGTCGGATTGTTGCAAGTGTAAAGCTCGAGAAATCTCTTCAGAGTTCGGGTCTCTTTCAATACCGTTGAAAGGTAATTGATTGAGAATAGAAATTCCCAAGAGTTGAGAGAATTCTTCCATAGTAGGCACAAGTTGGTAATCGAGGAAGGTAAAGCAATGGTGCAAAGGGTCAAAAAACTGGAAAAGCACTTTCATCATGTCTTCTCAAAGCTTGAGGTAACCAGGTTGAGAAGTCGTCCATGTCTTTTGGTGAACGGAGAATTCTCAGGGACCCTTGATGCTAATTCTTTGAGCTGAAAAGGTACTCGTACGAGATTGAATTGGATTGTATTCCTGGGAGTGGGAGTCATGTCCTATAAAACAGAACAAAGATGAATCTCAAGATCCTTGAAATGGTTAGTCTAAAATGTTATGGTATGATGCTATGATGTTATGTACAAGTATATGCACAAGAAAATCAAACAAGTCATTAGGTTTAGGCTTGCATGGGGTTCATAGGTAAGTACCCACTTGAAGTTTAGTTGGTTCAACATGTCCTAGAAAGTAAACGGGTTCTAGGAAATCTCAATATCACTGATCTTTCTTCATCGGAAATTGTTTCAGCGCAAGTCTCTTTATTGGCGACCGAAATATCCCGAAAGTCCGATCTCAAAGAGCATAGTATCGAGTGTGATACGGTGGGAGAACTGACTTGGGATTTTGCGTTTGTGTTCGCAAATGTTTCGGTTTAGCAAGAGTCGCCACCGACTTTTTATTTTATCCTAAGGAAAGGTCAAAAAGCACAGGAAAGACCTTTGAGATGTTTTCTTGGATTCGGGGGGTAGATTATGAAAAGGGAAGGTGCTAGCACCCTTTTCATCCATGGTTATCCATGGGCTCTTAGTTACTTGTTTTAGATCACTTGCATTTGCTTTTCAATTGTTTGAAATGGTGCCTTGTGTGTGT